ATAGTGTTGCACTTGGTTGTACACACAAAACGTAATAGTAATTGTGAGTAGAATGGAAAAAGAGAGCTTGTGACCGAAGGGCAACATCTGACTTTTTTTTTCCATGCACTCATTGCCAATGGTATCTTAAAATGTCAGACATTTCAACATCTGAAAAAGTTTCAGACACCTTTTGACAATGCAACAAGTAGGTAATTTGAAACATACTCACACTTTAGAAATTGGAGCTATGGTTTTAGCCAGTGCCATTTCATAAACTATGTCTCTGGTGAAATAAAAAGTGCACTGCAAAAGCCCTGCGGTGTGGTTTGCAGTGTATGTGTACTCATTTTAGAAAACTTTAGATAATATTGCTGTGTAACTGACATTATTGAGCCAGTTTCCATATTTGTGCTGTTACACTGCATTTTAGTAGCCTACACATTCCCATGTCACTCTCACTGCCACAGTGACTGCTGTTATAAAGTTATATGTCTCATCTGACTTAACTGGTCAGACCAGTGTAACATATTTGTAGTTGTTAACATATACATCATTTTGTATTCCCAAAGATACATCCACATGCATAGCCTCTGGTGATCCCCACTACACCACCTTTGACAAACGCAAATACAACTTCATGGGCAACTGCAGTTATTTGATGTCTGCACCCTGCAATGAAACAACTCTACCATACTTTGAGGTCCATGTCGACAATGAAAATCGCTATAACAGGCCCACCATCTCCTATGTAAAGGCTGTACATGTATATGTACATATGGTGAAGATCTCAATCCTCAAAGGTGGAACTGTGCAGGTAAGAAATGAAGGAAGGAACACAGTTGTTTAATGTGCACCTTTTTAGTTGCTAATCTCATTGTTACGGTAACTGTAAGATTCTATATATGAAGAGTTTATGTTTCCTCAGTAATCTCATAATGTTATTCTGATTCCCTCATCCAGGTGAATGGGACCAATGTAAACCTGCCAGTGACTCCAGCCCCTGGTGTCTCTGTGTTCAAGTCGGGACAGCACTACACTGTGTCTATGAACTTTGGTGTAACTGTTCGCTATGACGGAAACCACTTCATGGATATCAAAGTGATCAAAGAGTAAGTGAAGACTGAGCAGATGCTGTCAAAGGAGACTGTCTCTTATCATGTGTTTTTACCCCAACTAAAATAAGTTTTCTAATGATGAAAATAAACTGATAATCAGTGAAACACCAGCGTTTGATTGTAATGAGAACATAAACTCTTGCAGCTATCAGAAGAAGCTGTGTGGTCTGTGTGGAGATTACGATGGAGATACCAAAGATGACTTCCGTAAACCAGATGGATCATTGACCAATAATGCCAATGACTTTGGACACAGCTGGAACACTGACCCAGAGTAAGTAGCATACAGTAAAATCTCTACAGACGCCTACATACACACATAGAACATTTTTAACTCACTGTCCGTGTTGATAGGTGTAATAAGAAACCCAACACCACCATCCCTGGATGTGATGAGGAAGAGCAGGAACAGTATGAGAGCTCTGGATATTGCGGCATCCTGCTGGACAAAAAGGGTCCCTTCGCTGTGTGCCATCCAAAAGTCAACCCCAATGTAAGTCACTCTTGTAAGAATTTGTATTTTGTTGCAACTTGGCACCCCTACAGTTTCAGAGTGCAATTACCTTACACCGTTTGCCAACCAGGATTCTGATCTGTACCATATTTCATGAAGAAAAGAGTTTCCCTCCAGTGTCCTCTGGCTGATTTGCCTCAACTTTTTCTGCTTTAGAAAGAGCTTGGAGCATGAGGGGATGTTAGTACAGGAGCTTTGTACCAATGTTATAAATATCAGCAATCAATTTTTCAAATTCAGTGTCCCATATCTATGTTTTCCGAGCTATACTTTCGCTGTCATGCATCATTGTGTCAGAGCAGAGTAAATTGCTTATGCTTAGTGGTATTTGATGTAGTCCCGTGAAGCATTACGCATTCTCGTGGAAGATTGTACCCACTCAAACCAACTTACATAATGCAAGAACAGATGTTCAGCGCCTTGTGGGAATGACAAAGCAATTCTCCTTATTACAAGTTAGTGTACCAAGCTAAGTTGTTATTTTAAGGTAGAATAGTTGAATAATGTTGTATTAAGAATTGTAACTTCACCAACTGTGTGTGTCTTCAGAATTACTTCAGGGACTGTATCTTTGATCTGTGTGAACTGGATGGAGCCAAGCCTATTCTGTGTGAAGCTATTGAAGCCTACGTGAATACATGCCAGGACCGTGGGGTCAACATTGGACCCTGGAGGAATGAAACCTTCTGCCGTGAGTGTTGGGTGATGGAATGGATGGAGAAATGATACGTGGATCGGGGGATGTAGGGAGGGTAATATAGGAGCAATAGCGAGCTGATTCCCAAGGGTCAGGAAGGTTTCTTATTTTATCTCGGTCTGTATTATCAATAATCTCAGAGCTGGAAATCGGCCAGACATTCTCAAAGCTGCGTGCGCCTGTGCAATATGTGCACAGTAGTCCGCATTGTAAAATTATGTGGTTATGCGGTGTTGATATAGGATAAATTTTGTCAAAGTGTACGCTTACAGTTTATTATGTAATTATGTATTTACTATGAGTTTTAATCAAGTGTGAACCTATCGTGATGTCACCCATTGGTTTGTGGAGTACCATTTTGAAGCCTCAAGTTTGGCGTTTTGGCTGCCACCATGACAGTAAAACAAAGCCAGCGCGAGCCACTGGATGTGACGTACTGCGAGTTGATCTGCGCTCATTGGCTAGGCAGTTTTGACTCGTCCGTAGCCGGAAACAATGGCGGCTGGTAACACACGGTCTTGTATTACAGCTAAACAGTACATTCAAATATGTTTCTGAATTTTCTAAACATACTTTGAAGTAGGATCTGTCTTTAGTCTTAGATTAACTTTCAGCGCAATTCCTAGGAGTGCGAGACCCTTAATAAATACACGCCCTGGTCTCAGAATATACCTCTTTGCCTGCCTTATTGCTGACTTC